TGAGACTATAGAACCCCCCGGAGCACACATTCCCAAGTGCCATTTTCCCAGTGTGTGGAGGGAAGGTGGGGGAGGGTGGGTGGGAGGCAGCGGGTGCAAGCTGGGCCGTTGCCAGCAGTGGTGTGAGAGGTGACTGATGGCCCTGATTGCCCCTCAGGAGCAGGGGGAGATGGAGATGCCCTGAGGGGCAATCGGGGCCGGCAGCCGTCACTCACACCCACTGACAACGCCAAGCGATCGGGGCCGGCGCCAGGCACCAGCAGCAGGTGTGAGCGCTAGGCAGGACCGCGGGGCACAGGAGCAAAGAATTTTCAGTAACCACCAGAGCCTCGCCCCTATGACAGCGACCAGCACCCTGCCTTGGTCTGGCGCTCCTGCTCACCTGCTCCACCATCCCACCGTGGCGGATGCCTGCCATGTTCTGCACACGCCCCCTGGTGGTCAGCACATGTCATAGCGACTGATTGTGTGGTTGTTTGGTTGTTCAGTTGTTTGGTTGTTCCGCTGTTCTTTCTATTTGCATATTAGCCTTTTATTATATAGGATATGCATCATAACCCCTGGACACAGACATAGTATGGTGAAGGCATGGGGTGCGGGATGGAGGGGGTCAATGAGAAAGAAAGCAAAGGGGACATCTGTAATACTTCCAACAATGAAGATAAATTTAGAGAAAAAGGAAGATACACACACACACACACACACACACACACACACACTAGAGGCCCGGTGCACAAAATTCATGCACTGGGGATGGGTGGGGGGTCCCTTAGCCCAGCCTGTGCCCTCTCGCAGTCCGGGACCCCTCCCTCCTTACTGCCCACCTGCTTTGCTGCTTCCTACCACTTGGCTTGCTGCTCCTTAGTGCTGCTGCGAAGGCTCCCACCACTGCCGCTGCACTCGCCAGCTGCCCTGGCCTCTGCTCTGGGTCGGAGCTCCTCTGCTACAGCAAAGCTTTGGGTTCCATTCTGCCAGGGCACCTACTTAGGTTTCGGGTTGATCCCCGGTCGGGGCTGACTGCTGCTCAGGAAGTGACTGAGGACCGTGTGCTCTAGTCATTCGGTGAGGAGCTGGGGTTCCATTACCAACCTGGCCCACTCTGATCCCCACTACCCCCGCTCCTACATCAAGGACGACTTCAACTATGGCAGCTGCGTGGCTTCCACCAGTGTACACATCCGCATGGGTAGGTCACCCTCTCTGTGGCTCACCAGGCTGCTGCACAGTCGCCCCAGAGGTGGATTTCCGGGTTCCCAGGGAGAGCGCCCTCCACGCAGGTCTCCCAGGGAGAGCTGGGTTGGAGGGAAAGCACTTCGCCTGGAGCAGAGCACCCGTCCTGTGCAGGGCTCACAGGGTTTGTGTCTCTGATCCTGCCCTCAGCAGCCCCAGTGCTGAGGTGGTGGGCTTTGGGGCTGCTGGGTGCTGGGGCTGCAGATCTGTTTCTTCGATCAGGCCCCAGCACCAAGGTGGTGGGCCTTGGGGCTGCTGGGTGCCGGGCCTGCATGTTTGTGTCTCTGATTGGGCCCCCAGCAGCCCCTGCAAGAATAGGGCTTCCTCGGGCCGATCGCACCACCAAGCCCCACCGCCCAGGACCGCACACAGGGGTCCTGCCGTCCAGGGTCGCACACGGGGGTCCCGGCTGGGGGCGGGGCTTGGCGGCACACAGGGGACTGGATGGCGGCTCACGCTGTCCCGCCCTGCCTGCAGTATGCAAATTAGCTGCCATCTTTGTTGGCGGTTAATTTGCATATCACGCTGATTAGCCCATGGGAGGCGTAGCAAAGGTACGGTCGATTACCATGTTTGTCTATTATTAGATAGTGTGTGTGTGTGTGTGTGTATACATATATAATCCTATATAATAAAAACCTAATATGCAAATTGTCCAACTGGGAGTTCGACCACTCCCTATGATGTGCACTGACCACCAGGGGGTGGCGCAGAACATGGCGGGCATTGGCAACCTGGCGCTGGCAGTGGGCAGCAGTGGGCAGCAGTGGAGGCACTGCCGGCCCTGATGGGCCCCAATGAACAGGTGTGCGGGTGGTGCCAGGCCAAGGCAGGTGCCAGTGGGGGCCTGATTACCCCGCAGACGACGACCACTGGTGGCAGTGTGGAGTGGGGCCACCGCCCGGCTTCCAGGCGCTGAGGGAGCCGGGGTGGGGGCCCCAACCCTGATTGATCAGCCCGCAGGTGGGACGGTGGAGCAGGTGAGGGGGCGGCACCAGGCCAAGGCGGGGTGCCAGGCAGGGCTGTGGGGCTGTGAGGCTGGGGACACAAGCTGGGGCCCAATTCCCGCAGGAGGCCACCCCGAGGGACCCACCTGTACGAATTCGTGCACCGGGCCTCTAGTGTGTGTGTGTGTGTGTGTGTGTGTGTGTGTGTGTGTACAAACAGTGAAAGGAAATATATATACCTCTTTTTAAAAAATATGTTTTTATAGATTTCAGAGAGAGGAAGAGACAGAGAAATAGAGATAGAAACATCAATGATGAAAGAGAATCATCGATTGGCTGCCTCCTGCACACTCCTTACTGGGGATTGAACCCACAACCCGGGCATGTATACCAACCAGAAATTGAACCATGACCTCCTGGTTCATGGGTCAATGCTCAATCACAGAGCCACACCAGCCTGGCAGGTGTATACCTCTTAACAGTAAATACCGCTGAAGAATGGAACTGGAAGAAGAGAACATTCTCATTCTATATATCTCTAATTTTTTTTATTTTTATATTTTATTGATTTTTTCAGAGAGGAAGGGAGAGAGATAGAGAGTCAGAAACATCGATGAGAGAGACACATCGATCAGCTGCCTCCTGCACATCCCCCACTGGGGATGTGCCCGCAACCAAGGTACATGCCCTTGACTGGAATCGAACCCGGGACCCTTGAGTCCGCAAGCCGACGCTCTATCCACTGAGCCAAACCGGTTTCGGCTCTCTAAATTTTTTAAAACAACTAGAATGGATAATTTTTGTACATTTAAAAAAAAAATACAGATATCAGATAGCTGGCCATGATGACAGTATAGTTATTTAACCTCTTTGAATCCCCACATAAAAACCAAGAGAGCAACAAATAGCAAAACCAACATCTGTGGACCACATTTTGCAAAACCAGGTGACGAGGTATCTCGGTGAACCCCATATACAAGGAGAGAACAAATCACCAATAGCCACATCTGTATAATTCCAGCATCTGTGTGGGAGAAAGCAGAGGAAGCCACAGGACGTCAGACAGACCCCCAAACTGGAAAACCCCCAAATAGCCAATAGGAAAGTGAGGTGAGTCAATTTAAGAACAAGAGATTAAACTGGAGGAGTTTGGCCTAATCCTATTAGTGGATGAATGCACAGGCCCATGCTAAAATCTGAAGTGGCTAGGGCAATCTAGCTCCTATAAACTTTTTGGTTTTTTTCCTATAAACTCTTGAAACTGACCAACCTGGGCTCCCTTCCAGGGCATGGCCACACACTGAGGAGAAACTTCTGGGTGTAGAATCATAATTAAGCAGGATTAGGATAACAGAGACAAGGAAAGAGAAAGTCTGGATGAAGTGGGGGAAGGAAACAATGGCAGGAAGTTGCAGAAAGCAAGCCACCATCTTTTAAAACACCACCTCATGTATCCTAAAACTTCAGGAAAATCAACAGCACATCATAACAAACAACAGAAAAGTATCCAGGTTAAGCCCAGTAAATACAACTGATAACGCCTTACAAGAAAGAGAAGGTGGGTAAAAAGGAAAATTTAAAAACCATAAAGAAATCAAACAGATTAAACAGAAACTGACAAATACTGAACTTAAAAGAACACCCAGCATGTGGATAATGAGATGTCTATACTCTCATTGTTGGGAAGGGTCCCAACTATATTGGGAACATACATTTTTAAATAATTTTTAACTTTTTAGTTGAATTAAAATCAAAAAAGATTAAAAGTTCATTCAATTCTATTGTAGTTGTTTCACTAATCTCCCTTCCCTAGGGAAGGTATCCTGACTTGTTACAAAAAAGAACGCTCTGCTGAAAAGTCATGTGGACCAGCACATCTTGGATCGTCGGGATCCCCAATATCTTGGTCTGATCCAGATCTTTATGGATCCTATAGCTTATAGAATTTGGGAAGCCCTCATTTAAAAAAAAATCCATTTCTGCTCATGTCTTCTAATACCAGGATAGGCTATCTTCTAGTGTTTTTAATTTTGATGATTTGTTTTAAAAGACTATTGTTTTAAAGCACTTAGATTTACAACAAAATTACAAGAATGGTACAGAGATTTCCCGTACACACTATGTCTCAACACATGCATAGCCTCTTCCATTATCAACATTCCCCACCTCAGGGTGCCTTTGTTACAATTGATGAACCTACATTGGCACATGATAATCACCCCAAATCCATAGTTTACATTAGGGTTCACTCTTGGGGTTGTACATTCTATGCATTTAGACACATGTATAATGACATTATCCATCATTACAGGGCCTTCTAGAGTAGTTTCACTGTCCTAAAAATCCTGTGTACTCTACCTATTCACCCCTCTTCCCAAGCCCTGGCAACCACTGATCTTAGTCTCCACAATTTTGCCTTTTGAAGAATGTCATATAGTTTGAATCATACAGTCTGTACCCTTTTCAGTATGTAATATGCACTTAAGTTTCCTTCATGTCTTTTAATGGCTTGATTACTCATTTCTTTTTATAGCTGAATAATATTTCTCTGTCTGCAAGCACTAAAGTTTATCTATTCACCTCCTAAAAGACATCTTGGTTCCTTACAAGTTTTGGCAATTATGCATAAAGCTGCTATAAACATCCATGCGCAGGTTTTGTATGAACACAAGTTTTCAATTCCTTTGGTTGAATATTAAGAAGCAGGATTGCTGGGCTGTACGGTAAGAGTATGTGTAGTTTTGTAAGAAACTGCACATTGTCTTCCAAAGAAGCTGTACCATTTTGCATGTCCACCAGCACCAGCATTTGGTGGTGTCAGGGTCCCAGATAGCTGGTGGGAATGTAAAATGATATAACCACTTTGGAAAAGTCTGGCAGTTTCTTAAAATGTTAAGAATACCTCTGCTACACGAACTGCCATTCCATTCCTAAGTATTTACCCAAAATAAATGAAAATGCATGTCATACAAAGACTTATACCTAATGTTCATGGCAGCTTTCTTTGTAATAGCTAAAACCTGGGAACAATACATATGACCATCAACAGGTGAACGGGTAAACAAAATGTGGTATATTCCTACAATGGAGTACTGCTCAGCAATAAAAAGAGTTGGGCTGCAGGCTCCGTGGATCAGTGGTTGAGCATCAACCTATCAACCAGGAGGTCACGGTTCAATTCCTGGTCAGGGCACATGCCCGGGTGGCAGGCTCGATTCCCTGTTCAGGAGGCAGCTGATCAATGATTCTCTATCATCTCTATCTCTCCCTCTCCCTTCCTCTCTGAAATAAATAAATATGCTTTTTTTGAAAAACAGTTGGGCTGTTGATAAGTGAGCAACATGGAAGAATCTCAAAAACATTAAACTGAGTGAAATAACCCAGACAAAAGGAGTACATACTGCACAATCCATTTACACAAAATTCTAGAAAATGCAAACTATAGTGATAGAAAGCAGATCAGTAGCTGTTTGGAAAATAGGATGAGAAGCTGGAGAGGAGCAGAAGTTGATAACACTGTATTGTATAATTCAAATTTGCTAAGAGAGTAGAACTTACCAATGTTCTCACCCCCCAAAAAGGTAAATATGTGGGGTGATGGATGTGTTAATTAACTAGATGGGAGGAAGCCTTTCACAAGCCTACATATTATCAAATCATCAGGATTTATATGTAAAATATCTTACAATTATATTTGCCAACTGTAATTCAAATAAGGTGAAGAAAATAAAAAGACTAGGGAATGACTGATGAGGAAGAGACAGCCACGATGGTGGGAAGCACACCAATAAAACACCCTCAAGGGATCCATCCAGGCTGGTGCTCAGAAAACTTAGGTGGCAAAACAATAGAGACAACGGTCTGACAAGTAGCCATTTATAATGCGAGGTGAGGCGTAATTTAATCATCCCTCCCCTCGCACAGTAGGGTAAAGACACTTTGTATATTACTTGGTGCTCATTTTTTTAAAAATATAAAACATACATCTTCAAGAGTCCGGAGGAAAATGAGATCCCCGAGTTCCCTGGAGGGCCGGCCTGTGGACAGGCTCGTGTGGTTTCTAGACATCATGTTTCACTCTTGTAGGACTTGGGCTGGATGGCTGCCATTTGTCTCTCTGACTTGCCCTACAATTCACCAAACTAAGGCATTCTTCTTTCTTTCCATCCTGTCCTTTAGCAGATCGCTGTTGCTGACACAGAATACCTTGCCTTTATTATGTTCCTTTATTCTATTTCCTCTTTTTTTTAAAATTGTGGTTAAAAAAAACCCCATAACATAAAATTTACCTTCTCAACCATTTTAAGTGTATGATTCAGATGTGTTCAATATAATTCACCTTGTTGCAAAATAAATCTATCCAATCTATCCTACCTTCTCTTGCCACAAACGATCTCCTTTTCTGTACTCTACATCCCCTTAACAGCATCCTCGCATCCAAATTCAAAAATCTCAGAAATAACCTTTGACCACTTCTTCTATGCCACTTACTAATTCCAATCAGTTCCACTAGTAAGCTGTTAATTGAGTCTGCCCCCAAATTGTTTCTCATCTCATCAGTCCCTTCCATTCCACTCCCTTTTTCTCTACCCTAGTCTAAATCCATATTACTTCTCACCTGGTAATGTTGAATTTTCTCTTATCTCCGGAATCTCTGCCCTTTGATTCATTCTTTACCAAATTAACATTTTTTTTTTTTAGTAAAAGTGTTTAATCATGTTATTCCTTTGTTCAAAAAGACCTTCAATGATTCCACCTACAAAATAAATCAAATGGCTCAATGAGAAAGCATCCAATATGCAAAATGTAGGCTCTAGAATTATAGAACTTTTTTCAACATCTGATGTGTGGGATTTGATCACCGAAGTGAAAGGGTCAAAGTGGTAAAATCTGCCCAGCCAGTGTTGCTTAGTGGTTAAATGTTGACCTATGAACCAGGAGGTCATGGTTCAATTCCTGGTCAGGGCACGTGTGTGGGTTGT